GACTGCGGCCGATCCGTCCCGACCCCAGCGGGCGGGGCCTGACCTCGTGTGCCCTCAGGGAGCCCGGACAACCCTCCTGCCCGAGTGGTCCAGGGGGTAGAGCTCTGCGGGGCGGGGCGGGGGCGGGGCGGGAATCTGTGCGACCATCTAGGGAGACCCCCTTCCCCAACCGCGCCCCTACCCGCCCCATAGGTTTCAGAGCGCCCCCTACTCGTGGGAGTGGAAAGTGAACATGGGGCAGGGACCCTCGGGAAGGGCTTTTGAGGACCGCAGCGGGGAGGTGGAGAGTGGCCAGGGATAGGGGGCCCCTGTTGCTGCTGGGGTCTGCCCAGGAAGCGCCCCTCCTGGGGCGGACCTTTGTCTCCGCCCTGCCACCAGTCCTGCCCCGGGGCGCCCTGGTGAGAGACCGAGGGAAGTGCCCCCAGGAGAAAGGAGGCTCCGGTGACAGCGATAGGCAGATGCGGCCAAGGCCCCAAACTAGTCTCTGTGCCGCAGTGGCCGCCAGCCCCCGACACCGAGACGCGCGGGTGGTTCGGGAGGGCGAGTGGAGGCTGCGGTCCTGCGGGCTCCGGGCCCCTCAAAGGCGAGGCCGCGGGACAGGCGCGCAGACGGGGGAGGGACAGCCCTTTGTACCTGGCTGTGGCCAAGGAAAAGAACGGCACAAAGCCGGAGATAACCAGACATGGGGGATCCTTTCAGCCTTGGTGACGTCTGTTCCTAGTTTTAAAAGATGTGTTTGTGTACTGAGTAGTAAACTAGGCTGGCGAGTAGCAAGTATTCCCATAGCGAGGGAGGTTAGCCTTTAAGCAAATCTACTTGTTTTTTGAGAATTCAAAATGCAGCAATTCAGTTAGTAAGAGATGCAGTAGCTGGGATTGCTGGAGACCTAGTTGGCCTGATTTAAACATCAGAAAGTATGGTGAGATGTTTAGGGAACATCCCTCCCTTTTCTGTCTCCATCCTCTCAGACCCCTCACCCCCTGAAAGCTATTACTGGCTTCTTGTATAGGCTTTTAGATTATATTATGCATGTCCAAGACAATATAGACATTTTTCTCTTATTAGCATTTTCTGTGCGTTGATTTTTTTCACTTAATATACCTTGGAGGGCCTTCTTATCAGTG